TTTTAAATGGAATTGGTGCAAGTTGATCAATATGAAAGTGATTTATCAGAAGAGGAGTTACTGGAAGTTGGTGAAGCAAGTCAACTTAAAAGAAAACGAAAAAAGAATTCAAAATTTTGGATTAAAAAAGCCGTGTTTGATAATGGTACAGAAGCAGAAATATCAATAGGAAATCAATGGTCAAAATATTACACAAATCATACGGAAGAAGGAAGGAAAGTGTATTACAGATGCAAGAAAGCGAAACGTCATGGTCCTCAATGTACTGCAGGTTTATATTTGTTATATTATGCAGACAGTGATAGAGTAGCCATTTATGAGACAGAAGCTGAACATGAACATCATCAAGATGAAACTCATCGTGGTATTGATGAAAATGTTAAAAAAATTATAGAAGATTTATTCAACGATGGTATTAAGAAACCAAAACAGATTCTTCGGGCACTTGAATCAAGGAAAGTGAAAGTACCAACATCAGCACAGTTAAACAACTATCTTGTCTATTATAGAAAAAAGAAATATGGTTCACATAAAATAAGCTTAGGTGAACTAGAAGAATGGTGTAGGAATAATGAAACTATTCCAGTTGATGAAAATCAATCTTTTGTTGTATGTTATAAGATATTGTACAATGACGATGAATATGAAGATGAGGAAGATATAGAAGATGATGCTGGTGGTAAATTTCGGATCTTTATATCATCTCTTCGTTTACTCAACATTGCATCCAAATCACAACATATACATGCTGATGCAACTTATAAGTTGGTATGGCAAGGTTTTCCGGTATTGATAATAGGAACAACAGATCTTAATAAAGCTTTTCATCCATTTGGTATGGCAGTCTGTTCAAACGAGAAAACGAAAGATTTCCAATTTATTTTCAACAGTCTTCAAATTGGTATGCAGAAAATTGGTAAAGATTTATTGAAACCAACAGCTTTAATATCAGATGCTGCTGATGCAATAAAAAATGGCTTTAAAAATGTTTTTAATAATTCATATGAAGAAATAATGTGTTGGGCACATATGAAACGGAAAATTGAAAATCGGATATGTCAAGTAGATGACAAAGACATCAGAAAAGAGATCATGGAAGATATTGAGCTACTTCAGTTATGTAATTCGTCAACTACATTTAAACTAGCAACAACATTGTTCATGAAAAAATGGAAAATGAATTCGAAACAAAAGAACCAATCGATATTAGACTTTTTGAATTACTTTGATTATGAATGGCTAACATTGAATGGTGGATGGTATGAAGGATTACAATTAAATACACCTAGTACCAACAACGCCCTAGAGGCAACTAATAGAACGATTAAGGATGATGGAACCTTTCGAGAGCGTCACGTATTATCAAGATTTCTGACAATTTCTTCGAACATAATCTACAATTGGTCAACTGAACGTGATCCATTATCAGTTAATGCAAAACTTTTTGCCATAGAACCAACAATATCTTTGGAATTGTGGACATCTTCTTATCAATGGGCTCAATCAAGAAAAGAAGTAATTTGTCTCTCACATGGTTCTTTGAAGAAGTACTGTATTCCAGCTCGTGATATTCAATCAATTACAAAAACCGATATAAATAAATACAACAAGAACCAATGGAAAACATTCAATCAGTTCAGGAAGTCACATGACATGTGGTGTATGGAAATAGAGGAGGATGCGAACTGGAAAACATCAAAATGCAATTGTCCATACTTTTTAAAAAATTACGTATGCAAACATATTGTGGGAATGGCTATTCGTCTTAAGTGCTGTAAACCACCACCAACAGCAAAAACTGTTCCAATAGGACAAAAAGTATCAACCTCTGCCCAAGTAAGCTCGATCTACCCCTGAAAAAACATGAAGTTCTTGTGCGGAACCGAGTTTTCCGTTTCAAAACATGAAGTTCTTCAGAAGAAAGATCGGCTCTCTCCAGGAAAAAGTATCAAGTTCTCCTCAAGTAAGCTCGATTTACCGCTCAAACAGATGACGGTCTGTTGAAGAACCGAGTTTTCTAATTGAATTTTTGCCTAATGGCACCTGCAACAAACAAAAAAACATGAAAATCGATATAACATTGTTTAAAAACTGTTGTTGATTACGTACCATATATTGCTTTAATTCTTGGATCTTCATCAGTTTTTTTAACATGAACATTCTGTGAATCTTGCTTATCAATAAATAGTGAATCGATTAATTTTAAAGCATATTTAACTGTGTTTTCTTTTGTACCATATGTTTTTAATAATTGAACGACAACACCGTCAGTTCTGGTATATGTCTTAAATGGAAAAAAGCAAGTAAAGAAACGGGAATTAGTACTCATCATATATGTGAATAGATGGTTTAGAAATGTAGCTATTTACTGATACAGGATCAGTGGAATCATCATCCTTGACATCTGTATTTTCACCATCATTTTCAAGAAAGACTGGAATCTAGAATATAAAATGGGTCTTGATGAGAGAGAATACGTTAACAATAGCTTCTCTTACCTTATGTCGGGTTAAACTCTTAGCTATTTTTTTTTGGTTTGTACACAACATGTTTAAAAGTTTCTCTTGACGCTCTAAAATGACTGTTATCTGCTGTTGTTGCTTCTGCAATTGCAGCACATTTGCATTAACTTGTTTGATATAATTTAATATTTGTTGTAAATCCATTTGTTGATCTTCATTTTTTCCGTCATCATGATCGGTTGTAAAACGTAAACGTTTGGCAATTGGTATTTTTTTTT